ATATGTGAATACTGATAGAAACATAAAATGTTTGCCGAGCTTCGCCTAGAAAAATCGAAAATTTCCCAATATTGGAGTCTGCCCCCCTCCCCCCTTCAGGGGTACGTCCGCATTGAGGTTATCGAGCATTACAAAATGGTACCTGCGCATATGTGCCAGACTACGAGAAGCTGAGATTCGTAAGTAGAATGCATTCGAGTCCTAATTCTGTCGAAAAACGAGGACCCAAGGACCTCATTCATTGTCAAGGTCCTATCACTCTAAAAAATTTCCGTATCCTAGAAAACCGAAAGGGGTTTGGAAACCCACTCAGAAACCCTTTTCCGTTTCCGAGAGGGTTTCCGAACAGTGAAAGCGTTTCTAAAAATACCCTTTCGGTTTCCGTACGTTCGGAAACCCAAAGGTTTCCTACAGTTCCCAATTGGACACTCTAAAAGTATTGGGGAATACCTTTTTCTTGCTATCGGAAGCCCAAATGTTTTCTCGGGAACCGGATAGGTATTGCCGAAAACCCATATTAGCAGAAAAACTGAGTTGGTTCCCGAAAGGGTATGCAAAAATACCTTTTCATTTCCTGAACGGTTTCCGAAAAAACCCAATCTGAATAGGGTATCATAGGAATCCAAAATGGGTTTACGAAAATACCCAAGTTGAAAATGGTCTCACAGTGAACTAAAATAGGTTTTGCGAATTTCTATTGAACATTCAAAAGGGTTCCCGAGTATTTAAACATTTCTTAAATGTTCATCAAGTTCGTGATTGACATCCGAAAACTTCACAAAAAAAATTTGGATTTGAACCTTATTTAGCGATGTTCTTTCTCGTGCTCAGCTTCGAAGATTTTTATTAAAGAGAAAAATACCGATGTAATTAGTATTTCTTATTGAACTATTCAAAATTATTCCTGAATGAATCTTTCTACGAAATGTGAAACCATATCGTACTTTGAAAATAATTGAATCTTAGTTGTGTATTTTACTGTTGTTCTAATTTTTGTGAATAAAAAAATGGATACGATGTTAACAATTCGGGAGCAAAATAAATAAATTAGACAATCAGCATACAAGTCTTACTTTTTCTTCATATTTTGCTTTTTTAATAAACAATTATATACCACTGAATTAAAATGACCATACAAGAATTGTTTTCAATTACAAGTTGTTAGGATAAATTTGGTGTATCAATGGATCATTGATGACTGGATTATTCATTACAAATAGAATTATTATTTTGTTCTCTAAAAATTTCTTCTCTGTAAAATACCCTCATGAATAAACTACTATTCCAATTCTTCTTTTTCAATCATAATATGACCCTAGAATTCGGTGACTTTTAATCAACTGAATTATAACACATTTTCACTTTCACTTTTTAAATTCTTTTTATATATTCACATATTCCATGAGTCTTTTCCAAATATTAAACTAAAATATATTTTTATTTTTATTTATGATTTGTTATGAATATCAAAACAAACGTGACTTAGTTTATTTCATTAAATAAAAATAAAATCTTTCATTGTTATTTTGAGATTCGATTCATATATATGGGCGTGGGCAACCGACTTGATACCCCATTTTGATACAGTCCTATTGTAAGGATAAAACATACTATTGTTCGGGTCATATAAGAGAGGATCCTAGATAATCCTGGATTGGCCTGAACAACATCATATTTTATCCGTACAATAGTAGAGAAAAGCTACCAACTCACACGATAAGTTCGTAGCTTTTCTCAACTATTGTACGGATAAAACATGATGTTGTTCGGGCCAATCCAGGGTTATCTAGGATCCTCTCTTATATAGCCCGAATAATAGTATGTTTTATCCTTACAATAGGACTGTATCAAAATGGGGTATCAAGTCGGTTGCCCATGCCCATATATATCAATATACCCGGCGACTTAATTCCAATTATTAAATTAAAATACCATTCATTTTTATATTTAGATTTGTTTTATATCTCAATATATCTGGTGAGTTTAAATCAATTATTGAACGAAAATGAAATTTCATTTTTTGTTTTAGATTCCTCTTATACAGAAATATATCTGGTGAGTTTATTCGAATTACTAAAAGAAAATGAAATTTTATTTGTATTTTTAGATTCATTATCTATCAATAGATCCGGTGAGTTTGAATCTATTTCTTGAATTAAAATACAATATTTTTTTTTGTGTACTCAAAAAGTGAGTACACTCTAGAATCGGTCAGTGTGTCCGTCCGGCCGTTTACACGATAACTTTTGAAAGGAGAGTCCGATCGCGATGAAATTTTCTACACAGTTCAGTCTTAACAATGTCTCAGTCGAGTTTGAAGATGGGCAGAATTGGCCGAACCATTCCTGAGTTATTGCAAAAATACTCATTTTCCCTATGGCTTTCTATGCGAAAATCGACCCATCCCCGCTTTCGTAAAAAAATTTTCCTATAATACTCAAACAAAACTCCAACTATTATATACCATTCGATAGAGAATTTTACGAGCTACCAAATGGTATATAAAACATAAAGAAACAAGAAGGCTAGCTCACCTATTGCAAAGATAAATAAACCGAAATCGGTTCTGTTCTTGTCCACGCTCTAACTGATCCACAATTAGAGCACTATCTTCCGATAAGAGGTGATGCTTGAAGGTTTTCTGGGGTGGAGAACTCGAATCTGTACTCCACTTGTTTCGAAGCCCTATTGGTTGAGCACTGACCAATAGAAATCAAGTTATAGAAAAAACGACTTTCTGAGAGTAAATTAAGGCGAAGAGTTCAAATCTGAGCTGTATTCACCCCCAAATCCTATTGGTTGAGCAGTAGTCAATAGAATTCAAGTGTTTATAGAAAAGATTTGCCAAGTTAATTTGTATATCTACACATTCTAGGATGATTGATTTGTCTCATTCACTTTTTGAAGTACACATAACTCTCGGACTTAAATCCGAGGTTTCCACATTTATTTTAGCATAATTTCGATTTATTAACCGAACAAAAAAAGATTTTATTTAGTTATTAATTATCAAAATTCGTAAATATTTTTTTTTACTGAGAAACTTTAAAGTAAGTGAGTGTTAAACATTTTTACTTAGTATTCAATTTGTAGCCTTTTACTTTTAGCAACATTCGAAAGCACGAGTAGCAGTGATGAACCGTTCTCACCATTGAAATTTGGAAGTTAAAAAAATTTTAGACACCAACATATTTGGTTTTACTTCGGGAGCCTAGCGATGTTTAAGAGTCATTTTGTTTCTTTGTTTAGATCGTGGTACATTTCATCAATTATTGAAAAGTGTAACAGATCCATGGGCTGATTTACCATCAGAACATTCAACAGAAGCAACAATAAGGACATTGAGAGAGTCAGTCATGGAGTTTTATAATTTGAAAAGAAATTGGTGCATGGTTGTTGGAAAAATCAACAAAAAGTCCAAACATGTTGTAACAGCACATACATATCCGAAATCCGAGCCAACTGATTTACAATTTTTTGATCTTAATTCATCAGATATCGACAATCCGAGAAACTGCTTACGATTGACCAAAGAAATTGAACGCGCTTTTGATACAAAAAATTTAACCATCATTGAAAAAAGTGGTCAATTACGAATTTTTCTATTAAACAAAACAATGTCATCAAAAATAATTGCACATGTTTCATATCATACATTTGGTAGTACACATGGATCACCATTGATTTTTAATAATGAAAAAAGACCATTTCATAGACTTTTAGTTCTGGATTGCTACTGTTCATTCAATAATGCGAGATTAAAACAACAAGAATTTTCATTAAATAGTGAAGATTTGAATAATATCGTATTTTATGTTGAAAACTTATTGGATATATCGTTGGAATCACAAAAATGGCATAATGTTAAACAATGGTTATATAATAATCCAGTTGGACCTGATGCACCATCATTACAATCACAAACAATGACACAATTTATTTATGAATTCGTCGAACAATATAGTGAAATTCATCGTATATGTCCATCAGTGATCATATAAAAGTTCGCGTAAAGAACCTATTCACTTTCTCCATTAGATCTGTTAGACACAACTTAGATACGATCAATATTGGAACCTCAAGCTTCTTGCTGTCATATAGTCTTTCGGCACAGCTGTAAACTAAGTAGATCAATCATCTGAGTCATATCTTCATTTGTACTATTGCAACATTCTTCGTTGTTTTTTTGATTATTTAGTTAGCTGTTGAAGATTTGTCTAATATTTTCCCACTGGATCAAGTGTTATTTGTTGGTGAACTAATAACACATATGTTGAAATTGAAACCGCAAATAGCGATTGCTGTAGGAAATTTATTAGATTTAGCACAGAAACAGCAAATATTAAACATGGATAGCATTACGAATGGGTATGTAATTCATTTTACTTGCTTCATTCTTGAGTGATTGTTGCTCTGCTGTGTTTAGGATATTAGATGTATTTGAAACAGCCGATAGTTTCTCTACTCCTATTTGGCAGCCTATCGGTGAAATACTTGGCACATATTTTGGTAGTGCTCAATCACAATCAACGATAAATATTTCAATATTAAAAACAATTATGGACAAAGTACCCGTTCAAAATAGAAAAGAAATGATCGTATATGTCATTGAATATGCACAAAAAATTTCTGTAAGCGCTATAGACAAAACTAGTAAAGTTATCTCATAAATAAATAAAAGGATTGCTTTGATAGGTGATAAAGAAAGTGATCTCGGCGAGTAAAATTTGTGTCTACTTTAGTTAGAAAGTAAAATGTTCGAATTAGCTATTATACTTTCTGAAAAGAAGCCTGCTTAATGTGGCTTTATGAACAAAATAATAGATTCATCTCCTGTTGCTCGAGAGATGGGCAAGAAGTAGACACTTTTCGTTTTCGGATGTCAGTTTTTTATCGAGTATCTCTCTCTGGTATAAAGCTCATAATGTGTTCTATTTTTCTTTTATTCTTAGTCAAAATCGAAATTTATTTCACTATGGAAATTATCCGGTTTAACATTTGACGATTTGTTGAAACTTGACGTGATTGATTCTCAATTTCTATCTACTTATGATTGGTTATTAAATCCAATATCAACGGACGTCAATGAAATAACACGACCACTAACATCGTCTCTCGCATCTTCTACACAAGTCGTTGCTGTATCACAATCATCACACTTTTCCACAACAGATACGGTTCGTTCAGATGCTGACTTGGTCAAATTATTTCGTTCGATCAATAAACAACAGATCTCTTCGAACACACAACAACAACAAACTAATCAGTATTTTCAAGATGTAAGCGCGTTGTTCTAACTTCAATTCAGAAGTGAAACTTTTGAAAAATCTCCTTTTTCACCCAGTTTTTTCTTGTAAAAACCAAGATTTCTTGCTTTTTTCTGGTCAGAATAAAAGAGAAACATACTCAAGATAAATAACTTACGACGCAAAAGTAATGGCACAAATATCGATCTTTTTTTTTCTTCGATAAAAGGGTGCTGAACGAAAACTTTAAAAAAAAAATAGAACCTTTTCTCCTCTTTCGAGACATATAATGTATTGTTATAACACATTCACAAACGAAATGACGCAACAGAAAAGGGAAGCGTCCTTAAAAAGAATCTGCATTATTCCATAAACAGACAGCATAAGATGTTGATCCTTACATCCCTTCGATAAACAGGTTCTGAGAAGAATATTTTTTTATCAGTTGATAGGACGTTTTCTCCTCTTTCGAATGGTATATAAATCATATTTGTTACCCATTGATAAATGAAGCGAGACGAGAAGATAAACAAGCACTCACGCAATAAATTTGTAATTTTTATATGAACTCCTCAAAAACATCTTGTAGAGGGAGGCAATCACTTTGCCGAAGATAACTTTGCCGACAAAATATTGGACGTACAATTTTCAGACGAATCTGAGATTGTCTAGGCGAATGCGAGATTGGACGTATATGCGAGTATGGACAGTGATATATATACATAAAGAGATATAGATCGCACCATAAGTTACAATTTAATCGCGGTAATAGATCAATTATGGATTTTCTTCGGGGCATTGCCCATAATCTTTCACTTTAAATATTTGTAATTTTCAGTAAAAGAATTTTAAAAATTGAGAAAATAAAGAATTTTGTAAAAAAAAGATTAATCATTGTTTTTACTATTAACGAATTTTGTCGACAAAGTGTATATGTCGGCAAAACAATTTTTCGGCAAAGTGGTGTCGGCAAAGTAATACGTCGGCAAAGTAACTGTCGGCAAAGTGATACGGACCCCTTGTAGATGATAATTCATCATGATAAACTGTTGCTTTAAAAGATGTATTTACCTATTTTATAACAGTCAAAGTAAGCACCATTTTACCAGATCTTTTTAATGGATCCCCAGACATAGAAATAATTACTGTCTACGAAGATGTTTTTGACCGTTTCATGTAAAAACTACGAATATATTGAGCGATTGTTTCCTTTTTTTTTTTCTTCTGGTATCTCATTTATGAATATATGATAAATATAAATCATATACCGTTCGAAAGAGGAAAAAATTTCATATCAACTGATAGAAAAATGTTCTCTTCAGAACCTGTTTATTGGACAGATTCCAAGCAGAGAAAGTTTTGAAAAAAAGGATATTAACGCGCAATCGATAACCACTATTGTGAACCATTAACACTCATTAGAAAAACGCGTTTTCCTCGTTTAATTCCAGTTTCAGAGCGTCAAAACGGCCAAAAACTCCAGTTTTTAGCGTCAAAACACCCTTGTCTTCTAGAATTTAAACACAATGCGTTTGACGTTGATTTTTTGAAAATTTCCTCGTTTCGACGCTTTGAAACTGCAAATTAAACGAAAAAAACGCGTTTTTTTGCGTTTTCGAAAAGTTTGTCTGCTTGAAATACAGAAATCAAGATTTTTGCTACGTTTTTCTGGATCTCACAAAAGTTGCGGATACTTTTTACGAGGGCTTCTCTTTTCCTTTGCGTTCTTTCATCTATGAACATGTTATAAAAATATGTAATATACGATTCGAAAGAGATGAAAAAGTTCTATCTTTTGCTAAAACAGATTTTCTTTCAGCACCTTTCTGACGAAGAGAAATAAGCATTGACATTTGTGCTACTAAATTTGTATCGTACGTTATTATTTTCATCATTTGATCTAAGATTCCACTTAATAGACTCATTATGCTAGGTATCTCTTGAATGTGCTCCGAAACTATTTTATTTTTGAGAAGATTTTTTCTAAAACTCGATTCTCAAAAAATTGCACTGGTTTTTCGTCGGTTTTCACGGATTTTTCACCGGTTTGAGCTGTAACTTCAATCCGTCGATTTATCAGCCGGACCAAACCGATTGACCGTTTTCCAACCGATTCCAGTTCTGTTCCAAATTCCGTTACATCGGCTCTAAGTTTTACAAGGTTTCTTTGTTTGTTTTAGAAAATGAATCCATCTGATAAATATTACATTGAAAATATTGTTTTATCATATTTGGAATCGTGTCTCATTGCTGATGTTCCAACAAAACCAACAATTGATAAATCTGCTGTTAGACAAGGAGCTTTTATTTTAAATTCACTTATTCCTCATGACAAAGAAAACGAAATTCTAGCTCTTTAGGCCATACAAAATTTTATCGCCAAATTAGAACATCCACCAAGTGAGTTGTCGTTAGGGTAGTTTAATTGAGAACTTGTCGATTTACTTCGATAATCTGCGTACTGCTTAGAAGTCTTTTTTGACGTCAAAAGCGAAAAATGACATATGGGCACGATAAGAAACAGAAATGGACACGGATCATTAATTTCTGTGCCCTGAAAAGTCTCTCGATCTTATTTGGGCACGATTTTTTCCTGATTGTAACAAATAGAGAGACCTATCCGAATTTTATTTCTCTGCTTCTTGCTTTAAATCTGAAAAATTTTCGGTTATAAAAATTGTTTTTAATTAGTTGGTTCTGTTGAACTTACTCTAGCACTGCCCTACATGTAGAACTCTGTTTTCAATGATATTCTGTCTATAAGTAGAAATCATTGAGCTAGTAGAAAGCCTAAGAGGATATCTGCTCTTGATGTTTTTCTTTTCTGATATTACGAATATTTTATATACTGGGTGAAGGAGTGTATTGCCTTAGAATTTTTTTTAATTTGATCGATATAGAAAAACTTCAGGATAATGTACCCCCTCACCTAGTCTATAAAAGCATTCATAACTTCTTTTACTAGCTCAATGACTTCTACCTATAGATGGAGTATCATTGAAAATAGCATTCTACATGTAGAACAGTTCCCGAGTTAGTTCAGGAGAATCAATTAATGAAAAAGAGTTTTATAAGCGAAAGTTTCTGAGATTTAAAGCAAGAAGCAGAGAAATAAAATTCGAATAGACCGCGGTATTTCCTACTATCTGGGAAAAAAACCGTGCCCAAGTAAGGTCGAGAGACTTTTATGGACACAGAAATTAGTGATTCGTGTCCATTTCTGTTTGTTACCGTGCCCAAAACAACAAGCATATTCAAATAAGTCAAAATATTTATTCGGGCACGGAAAATACTAATGTGTCCAAAAAAGAATGTCGTCCACGTCCAAAATAAGCGAAAAGTACCATTTTCTTCTCTTTGTAGGAATGGCACGTTTTTTAGTTGAAGTGTTTTATGATGAAGATTGTGTAAGTGAAAAGATTTTTTGGAAATGGCTTCGAAATTTGAACCAAGAAGAAAGCAATGGTTGCAATGCCATAATTGAATCAACAAAAGATTTTTTTGATTGGTTATTACCAGCCGAAGCTGAAACCACCGAAGAAGAAAATGATGATGATAATGACGAAAGTGAATAAACGATCATGTTGTAAAATTTCTGTTCATTTTTTGTTCTTCTTTGTTTAACTGACTATTCATTCATGTGTTGATTTGTGAAGATAATAAACACTGTTATTTGTATTTCCATTTCTTACTTCTTAACGCATTCAGCGGAATGTAATCAATCGATTAATCACGGCAAAAAAAGTTTGAATATCTCCACTTTGTTTTAATCAAATAGGCTAATTTTTTGTCGATAATAGAGGAATATTCAAAGTTTTTATTCATAGGAGAAACCTCTATAAATGCTACGTGTGCGTATTATAATTTACTTGAAGAGGGAAAAATGACCGTCTACGATTTCGAAAAAATACAATCCACATGGGTATTCTAAAAGTTACTTTGAACAAGTAAATCCTTATAGATTCAGCAAGTTCAAACAAATTATTCTAATTTTTGTTTCGAATTATAGAGAGATATTTCTAGTTTAATTTGTTTTAGATGAAACTAAATCTCTTACGATTCAAAGTTGTCGTGCAGGTAACGTTTCTTTTATGAACAAAAACCCTTGAATAATTCTCTATCATCGACAAAAAACTTAGCCCATTTGATTAAAATAGAGTTGTAATATCCAAATGTTTTACCGTGATCCATCGGTGGGTTACGTCGCGTCGAATGCGTTAAATAAATACACCATTATAGTAACAACATTCTAACTAGATGTGCTGTTCCCAAGGTTAATGCTCTATGCGTAGTTACATCCTATACAATCAATTACTGTGTATCAGGTGAAAGAGCACAAGCTACTACACATTTCTACATATTTGTTTTGGAATTTTATCCGCACAAGAAATAGGTTATGAGGAGTGGTTTGATACGTTTTGGTGTGGATACCCTTTCACATAAGTGATTTCACGATTTGTTTGATGTTTGTACTTAATCGGAGCAAACGGACGTAGAAAAACAAGGATGGATATTGACAGCAAAACATGAATTACTAACATTTTTTATATCAATATTAAAGGATTTAGATGGTTTAAGATATTATTGTGATTTGATGCGTTCTATTAATTTCCAGGAAACTCCTATTTTTTTAACTTGACTGGGAGCCGGGCATAATGAACATAATGGCTGTAGTGCGCCTGTCGGGCGTTTTGTGCAAAAGATGAACCAAGAGCGATGAAGTGTGACTCCCTCCGCGGCATTCAATGCCCATGATGCCTAGTATGCCCACTAGGGAAACGGAATGCAGTTTTCGGAAATTGATTTGACGTCCAGAAACCTATTGAGTTTCCTGAAAAGTAATATAATGCGTCATATGAATGCATTGCCCTGTGGAAATCGTTTTCGATTTTCGGAAAAAAATTTGATTTTGGGGAAGTCAATTTGCGTTTCCGGAAATCCGTTTCCATGTGGAAATTGTTTTTCATTTCCGGAAATCCAATTTGACTTTCCGGACATTCTGTTGTGAGGAAAGTCCATGAATTTTCCTGGAAACTTATATAGCGCATCATATGAAATTTCGATAAGATTTTTTTCGCTATGATATGTGCCCGGTAGTACTATTGTCTATGTGATATTTTTTGAATAATTTTTGATAGAAACAAGACAGAGAGCTGCAGTTTTCATCGTTCGAAAGAGAAGATATAGGGGCGTGCTTGGCCATGCTGGTACCATAATTAATATTTTTTTTGATACAATCCCTATTGTAAGGATAAAACATACTATTGCCCGGATCATATGAGTAGGGTCTCAGATAACTCTGGATTGGCCCGAACAACGTCATGTTTTATCCTTACAATAGTAGAGAACACCTACCAGGTCATGGTAACTTTTCTCCACTATTGTAAGGATAAAACATGGTGTTGTTCGGGCCAATCCAGAGTTATCTGAGATCCTACTCATATGACCCGGACAATAGTATGTTTTATCCTTACAATAGGGATTGTATCAAAAAAATATTAATGGGGTATCAGCACGACCGAGCACGCCCATAGATGTATCGAATCATGTATTATATATTTTCCTAGTCTATGGTCTGCTTTTTATTTAATCAGTTTCCGAAGTGTGGAAAAATGGTTTCTTATCAAAAAGGAAATAGCAAAAAATTCTTTTATAGATATCGCCAAAAAAAATCACTTCAAACTTTGACTAGAGTACCTATTACTTCTGAATGATTAATTCTAAACCTCGTGCAATCTTGTAGTTCTTCCATCGGCGGTTTCAATGCAGACTGGACACTTGAGAATTCACGGTAAACACCTCACGAGAAGTTTTGTTTTCAAAGAGGATGATTGAAATTCTTTAAAAAGGTCATATCAAAAATACCTGTAATATATGTCTCGATGCATCTTCATCTTTTCTTTCAAGCAATGAAAACTGCAGCTCTCTATCTTGTTTCTATAAAAAAAAACATTCACTAAGTAAGCACTAGTACTACCAGGCACATATCATAGCGAAAAGAATCTTATCGAAAGTTTATTATTATGATATTAGTTGAAGTATGACCAAATAATATAGAAATATGAAGCATTCTTTTTTCTATCAGATTATATAGAAAGAAAGTTCGTCAAAGCTTACTATACAGTATTAAAGTATCATTGCCACTACTTTTGGTATGCCCTAAGTGATTTGCTTTCAGAAATCACACATTCTATCAACATTGGATTAATACTAAAAAGAAAATATGAGAAAACCGGAACTGAGTAGAAATAAAAGATAATTTTTGAACGTTGTTATTTTTTCTGTAGTTGCAAATGACTATATTATCGTTCGTTCATTTTCAATTTTGTTACTTATTCGTGAAAAGAAACTTTTTGATCAATTTCGTCTTGATAATTCAAATATTTATCTTCATAATGGTATTTAATTACGATCAGCAACGTTTCGAGTCTGTTCTTTTTCTTTTAAATAAAAAAGAAATTATTTTATTACTTTTATTTTATTTTAGTTAATAAAAGTCTTTTTCGATCGTGAAGTTCTTGTTGACGATATAGAAGAATTATTTTTCAATATACAGTTATTATAATCCTGTTATTGACAAACAAAAAGATGGAATACTTAAGTAAATCGATTAAAGAAATTATTTTATTCATAAATTTTTCTCATTATAGAAAATATGGTCGACATGTTCGAAATGTTATGTGTAAAAAAGTTCTTATACCACCAGAAGATTTAACAGTACATCAAAATATATCATTAAAATCAAATGAAACAAATAGTACAAGTGGAATTAAAACATTAACGAGTTCAATACGACACCCAAAAAATATTTTAATACGTACACCAGAATCTGTACGACGTAGTTTAACATTAGCAAATACACGTTCATCAAAATCTTTAAACATCACATAATAATGATCGTTCATTAACTGGAATTTCAACAATGACAACATCATCAACAATACATGAATACGATGAAGGAATTATTGGAAATAGTAGTGATAATGAAGATGAAAATAGATTATCGAGTATAAATTCTTTCATTCATTTTATTTTATTAGAATTTTGATTTTTCTTTTAGCTGCAATTGATGAATCATATAATTATGCAACAATATCAAATGAAACAAAAAGTCTTAAACTTTTTACTGATAGTTTAATTGTTATATCACTTACATCAACTATTTCATTATCTGTTTCGTCAAGTATAAATGAGAATAATTTGAATAGTAATGGACAACAATTAATTAATTCAACTAATAGTAATAATAATAACAATGAAACGTATATAACAATAGAAGGAGGAATGACTACAATATCAACAATTAATACGTTATTGACTACTAGTGATGATACTTTTCGTATCCCATATATTAATCGAAATTTTAGGTTTTTTTTAGAAGATAAATTAGTAGTAATTGGCTGGTATTGATACTGATAGATTATCAATCTAAACTAAAAGAGATTCAAAATAAGTCGTTGCTTTTGATTAATTTAAGGATATAAGAGAATCTTCCACAATATAGATATGATCTCGAAGATGATGCAGAGAATAATGTGAGCACATACTACTTATAGAACGTTTCAGTGAAAAGTATTAGAGATCATCTCGAGAAGAATCACGAAAAAAGTGACTTACACCAATCACTAATAAGTATACTAATACTCGACACTTTGAGAATTAAACTATTCTGCTAATTTTTATCACATTATTATTGATTGTCGCAGTACAGAAATTAAAACTAATTTAACTCTGACTAAAGATTATCGAGTCCTATCTGAATCCGGGTCCAAAAGTTTTGAATCAAGAGGCTGTAACATAGACAATCAAAGGTATTTTAGATGTCGTATAGAAATAATATTCCATCTTTGAAGCTACTTTCGAATTCAAATAGAAAAAAAAACCTTATTGAAGATGTTATCAGAACGAATTTGTGTCCAAAAAATTTTGAACCCAACTATTTCTAACTCTGACATCTCAAAACATTGTATGATATTTTTCGAACCTTACGAAATCAGGTAGGTACGAATCTCAAAATTTCAAACTTAAATTTTACGTTTAAAATGTAATACATTTACTATATCTGTTTGTCTTTCTAGCTATCCATTGGTACATGTATTACTTAAAGATATTCTCGGCTAAACTTTGAAGAAAGTAGCACGATGTCATAAAATTCAGCGGTAAGCTAATACAACCTAAAATTTACTTTGATAGAATTTTTCCTATTCAGAGTTCTTGTTATTGTTTGGCGTAATTCACGTACAAAATTTCTTATTATATGGTTCTGCTTTTCGTAATAAAGATTTTATTAATTTACTTGTCAAAAGTCCACAAACAAACACAAGTACATATAATTAGTTCTTCTAATTAATTTTTGAAATCAAAAAATTCTTCTATTTAGGTTCATCAAGTGATACAAATGCAAGTATAGAACAAGAATATTATTTTGATGCTATTGTTAAATTAACACCAACAAAAATGTCATTTTCAGCTGATCTTGGTGATGATGATGAATCAAAATTAAGAATCAATTAATATAATATCACCATCTGTTAACAAATCGTTTGCAGAAATCTTTTACCTAGACGTGTCTTATATGATTGCTCACGAACAAGTAAATTTTCAAATTTTTTTAACTGATATATTTGGTATATATGTATAACAACTTTTTATCTCTAAAAAAACCGGTAAATAGTGACTTCAAATATTCGATTGATAACTAAAACTCGTATTTCTGCTCGTTTCAAAAGTTCGAGTAGTGTAACATTGACGCATAATATGCGATTGACAATGGGTAAAACAAACAAGATGATCATCGTCTAAGCCTGTTCATTTGTATATCTATTTGCATCCACTGTTTTTTAAAAGTTGTATTTTCAGTACATCAGCTTATTGTTTTGAATGAATTTATTCTATTAGATTATTTAAAATAATATTCAATTTCTTTTTCGTTATTTTAGCTAATGTTAATACTCATTCAAATATTGATATATTACCACAAAGTGAAACAGCAAGTTATACATCAATGAATTCATCAACACCATCATCGGTAACAACAAGTAGAAGTGATGGAAGTGGATCAACAAATTTTCATATTGATTTTAATGAATCAATTTTACAAGTTCATAAACGTTCGCCACTTTATATTATCGGCGATCGAGCTCAACGTTGCGTAAGTTTAAAAGAGCACAAACCCCATCCGTTGCAAAGATGGAACCACTATTGCTCCGGTTCGAGCTGATCTATTGAAACCCACGCCGATCATCAAAAATTCAGACCAGTTCCATTTATGATCTGCTACGATTTCATCCAGCATATGGAGGATGAGTTAGTTGTCAAGAAAAAGAAGCTACGCCAACATAACAAGTTCTATTATCCACGTAAATCAAAGAAGATGTAGAAATATTAGCGAAAGTTATGTTTTCTCTTTCAGCTCAATTTGGAATCAATTTCCAACTGAATTTGAATTTAATGATTATTATCTTCGTTTTCTTACATATCATCATTTATCAAATTGTTTTAAAAATTTTATGCTTGATTGTAATTGTAAATGTAAAAAAAATATCGAAATTGATCTGTTGATATAACTCGTCGTTCAATAAGTGATGATATATTAGTGGTAAATTTATTTCATTTATTAATCGAAATAAACTTCTCTTTGTGTTTTTAGGTTTATATCGATGTAATACAATAAATACTTGGGATTATATAACAAAAGTGAATCGAGAATCTGTAAGATATTATAATTTTCTTTATTCACCATCAAATGATAATTATGTTCTTCGTTCAGCATATAAAATGTGTTCATTTGATATATGGAATTTTTATTTAAATGACACATTCGAAATGGGCTGTCCATGTAATCTTGATATAGCATTAGCAAAACATTATGAATATTTAAATAATGCTGAATCAAGACAACGTAGTAAATGTATATCAGCTGTATATGATGATATCAATATTTGTCTATCAGATTTTTTTAACGAAATAGTTAGTGTAAGAAATTTTTGAATGAAAATTATTAAATTAAGTTTTATTTTATTTTTTTCTTGTCTAGGTAGAGTCTAATACGTTATCCCAGACAAATGGCGAATCATGGAAAACTTATTGAGATAAAATTGAAAAACCTGAACGGAAAAAAGCACAAGTACGAGCCACGCCATTTGTCTTTCAGAGTTACGGATTATTTATGGCGTCATCCAGAGCTGAGAACGGTTTTAAATTAAGGCTAACACTTAGGTCTAGAGGATCAGTTTGAAATTTCAAGGGAATGACCACATAGTTCCAGGATGATGATTATATAGTTCTCGATGCTATATGCTGAAAAATAAATATAAGTCCCAACAGCATCTCATGAAGATTACAGTCTAATACGAGAATTTGCTCTCCCGGATCAGCCCTCTCGAATACTGATTAACGAGACTCTATCACAAAAATGTAAAATATGATAATGAATTTTATAGCGTCTAACAATGCAAGATGAAACATACAAACGAATCAGTTCACGACAAAATTATCTTTAACCATAATGATCACTTTCATTATCAATTTATAGTTCGTATACATATGAACCAACACAATTTTTAACACCACAAATTTGTGATGAATTAATTGATTCAAAAGAAAAAATATTGAATAGTTAATAATACTATTATATTTATTTTTGCAAAATAAAATTATTATAAATAGAAGGAATGCGAGCACTACAATGTTGTGACTGTGCAAATGTTTGTCATGAACATGTCAACCAGTAGCATAATGTAAACCATGTAGAAGAATTGGTGTTATTGGATCATCTGACTCTCAAATTGTTGTTAACGCAACATGTTTCGAAACCGGCAGTGTAACAGATAAATTTTAAGATCTTATCATTCGTTTTTTTTTCTATGCTCATTATTATAACATACATCATTTCCAGATATTATAGATGTTTTATTGGGGAAAGCAGGTAAAATATCATAATACTTTCTTTGCTTGTCTTTAGGATATTTTTTTTTTCACTAACTAAATAGATATAGATATTATATTATCAGATTATAATAGCCATGACGAACTCAACTGAATCGAACTTAAACATATTAATATCTCATTAACTGAACTTCTCTAGATTTTACTAGTAAAGTTTTTTTTTTATCTTACTAAATTAAACACAGTACGATCTTTTGATGCCCATTTATCGGACGTTGTTCATGATCATATTATAGCTATGATGCTGGTTAAATAAGACTAACAAAATATTGAAAGACTCGTCTCCATAGTGCTTCTGAGCCGAAGTTTGAAATGTGATCTATTTAAAAAAAAACATCATTTATATGTTGAGAACTGAAGAGTTTTAATCCTTTGTAAGCTCCTGATGTTTTAACTTTAAAAATTCTGTATATCAAAACATCATATCGTACAGGTAGAGAGATCCATCTATTCGTATTATTAATTGAAGATTTTATCATTTATTTAGTTTTTTATGGCTATAATAATTAAATAAGAAATAGAACCTAATTCTATGTGTAGAAATAATAATTTACTTCACAATTTTTATTTCGAATTTGATAATACTGACAGATATATATATATACTCTTTCAGGTGTTTATGCCCATCATGGATTATCACATCCATTTTTATCATCAAGTGTAGCTGGAAATAATTCAGGTCCACAACATCGAACACATGAAGATTATTTAAGAAAACGAGGTCATATATTAAAACAATGAAAAGAACGATGGTTTGTACTTGATTCTGTACAACATGAAGTAAGTCATATCTTATCTTTTATTTTATATTTTTATTTCTTTTTCAATAGCATCGATATTACGATACAAGTGATGATCAAACAGCAAAAGGTGTTATTCTTTTAGCTGATGTTGTAGAAATTCTTCCTTGTACTAGTCAATTTTCAAATGCATTACGATGATTTGATAATCGAGCTGCTTTTGAAGTAAAAAACCAAATATATTTCTATTTAAATTATTCTCTTTATTTAGTTACACACAAATCGTCGTATATATAATTTTATTGCGGCAACATCACAAGATGCTCAAACATGAACAAAAAAAAATCAAATCTCATTAGTATTATTGTCATTTTTTTCTGTTCTCTCACTTGTCATTAAATGTCTATTAGTTTAGAGTTATCAACATTTTAATTGTCAAGAAATAAGATCAAATAGTAATTTATATATATACAGATATACGTTTGTGTGCATGTTTGTGATTTTTTTTCTTTCGAAAGAATATCATTATTTATAATGTGTTTATGTGCTGAGTAACAAAACAAAAGAAAATATTTCAACTGCTTATGAACAAACAAGAATTTTAGTTAAGGTTATTTATTTGAAGAAATGTTAAATGTATATGGATTTTCGATACAAATACGCCTCTTACAAAACAGATCTTCAATGGAAGCAAGCATTATTAAGTTAGATTTTTTCATTTAAATGAATAAAAATGTTATACTACGAATAAGCACAGTTAAATAAGAGTTCAATAATTGCATTTTTTTTAAACAAAATTGATGATCGATATGACAAGTACTACGGAAATTATTTTGTGTAATTGGTCGAAATTGAATCTTCAATACATTGACTTGATGATGTTATAACGCGCTATTGAGGATGAGAATATAAAATTGAAAAAGCGATGACAGGTAGAAGTAAAGCAAGTATCTTAACTCTTTTTTGTTTCTGGACTCTTTCGAATATCACTATTGCAGCAACACACATTTACAGACTCTGTCTGAGACTCACAAAAATTGCTACATGTAAAAGTATTACTAATACTAACAATAGCAGCAAGAAAATTTCTGCTAACTTTTAAATGACATTAATCGATGCAGCTGGTTCAGTTGTTGCGGAAGATGATACTCACGTCTTTAAAGATTCCGTCCGGATTCCTGAGAATCTGTTTTCCTGAATGTATGAAGGAATTGATTATGTGTGTGCTGGTCATCTTTAGTTCAACTTTGGCTATGTGGGGTGATGTTATTCGGCGAAAAGTTGAATATTTTAAAAGTAAATGAATTTTTCAGGCGAAGTTTTTTTTGTGAAGCTGATGTTCATGTCGCATAAGTTTCAAATTGTTTTATGTGTAGTTCTAGAGATATGCTCAATGTTCTGTTGTTATTTGGCTGTTGAAGGCTTCCAGTGTTAGATGAAAAGAGTTTTTTTTTCTATTTTGAAAAGATATTTGAAGTAAATGACGACAAATGCGAAAGGTTGAAATGGTAATGAGAATAGTGAATATGTTCAACCAGATTTATTTGATATAATTATATGTGTGTTGATTTTAGTTGTAATAAGTGTACGTCGAATTGTAAACTGGTACTTTTAATGTTCATTGTAGTGATTGATGGGTACTTTGTTGAAATGATTCGCCTACCTTTAAAATATTCAAATTTTTGCCCGATGGCATCACCCACATAGCCAAGGTTGAACTAAGCATGACCAGCACATACATAACCAATTCCTTCATGTATTCAGAAAAACAGATTTCCTAGAAACACTGACGGGGTCTTTAAAGGTGTAAGTATCATCTTCCACAACAACTGAATCAGCTCCACCGATTGATGCCATTTAGAAGTTGACACAAATTTTCTCTCTGATGTTGCTTGTATTAGTAATACTTTGACATGTATCAGTTTTAGTTATATTTGGAAAAAAAACAATCATCCAACAGTGTTGCTGTTTATTGTATATTGTTACTTAAATCATTTTTGTTTGTAATTTTTTTGATTTGATAATAAAACTGAATAGAGTTAAACAAAAATATTTATTATCAATTATCAGAGAAATAAGTCGAACACAAAATGTATATTATCACTAAGACGACCATTTCCAAAATCTATTTTTTTTTGTGTTCCTCTTTATTGGTGGTTTACGAATACGATGATATTTATTGCTTAACGCGTTGTCCAATAGAATCACTATTTTCTTTTGGCTAAATGATCCGATTCGACTAGTAGTACGTACCCTCACCCGAAAAAGCACAATGAAAAATGTGAATCAATAGCAAATCTTCACGGATTGGTGCTTGCATTTTTGACATGGGCCCGATATAAGTTTGATCACATATTGTAGGGAAAATTTTTCTCTATCGAACTGCGTTTTTGATTTTTTTTTTAAAAGTGGCAAGTAATGACACAAAACGTCATTAAAGATGAGATTGTAGCGACCTCGTA